ACCTAGGTCCCCTATAGTTCCCTAGGGACCCCTTAGAAAAATGGCCAAAAATCACAATTTTCATTTGCGTTTTTTCGCTTGAAAAATGTTAAATATCCATTTGCACACGACATTTTTATATACACATTTTTATATACCAGACATTTTTATAAAACACCCAGTAACCATAATAGACATCACTGGGGCGGCAGCTCCAGGTTTACCACACAGAAAGGGAATTCAAGTTACCTCATCCTTTCCCAAGGCTACATCACTGGGGCGGTAGCCCCAGTTGGTGCACACCAAAAGGAGAATTTTATTTGGTAAGGGTTACAATCCCTAAGTGCGGCCGAAGGCCGCCTACACAGAAAGGTGTTCTCTGCAAAAGGTGTTCAGCTCCGCTTCTTCGGCAATACGGAAAGGAGAATTCTACTTTGTAAGAGTTATGATCCCTAAGCGCGGCCGAAGGCCGCCTACGCAGAAAGAAGTTCTGGGCAAAAGAAACTATGATATCACCCACACTTGTCACTTGCTTGTAAATGCTTTTAATTTTTTTATCACTGAATTCTTAAACCTCAAAAGTAGATCATAATAAAATATGTATATCAAATTAAAGGTAAGAACTTGCACTTTCTAAATAATATATATTTCTTTAGCATTGATAAAGCACTTTTTTCTAAAAAAGGTTATTTTATGAAAAAATTATAACATTTTATTTGTTTTTTAATATTTTTGGCTTAAATATATAAGCAAGCAAACACATTTTATATAAAACATCACAAAAAATTTCTTTAACCTTTTATATCTTCTTCACTTTTTAATTGCGGCAAATATACGAAGAGTGTCAACGTGAATATACGTGCATTTGATTGCTCTGCAATAATTTGTTATAAATCGAGATATTTCAAACTTATATTCATGTAAAAACTCGGCTGATGGTTTTACGAGATAGTGACTCTATACCAGTAATGAAATATTTATAAACAAGTTGTAAATTTCCAATTTACCTCGTATTTAGCTAGCGGATTACCGCGGATTGAATTTTAAGTTATTTAATGCGTGTGTTCTCTTTTCTCGCCCAAAAGGAAGTGACCGCCATCTTCCTCCTTTTCTCTTTATTCATTTTCTTTACAGGGTTGCATTACAATAATTCACTTAGACTAGTAGGAGCAGGGTTGCATTACCGACTCCGAAACTTAACTAAATGAAATTATTTTATCCCATGTTACAACTCGGCCAAACCTGACACAAGATCGGCCTCGATCAGAATAAAATCACTCAACTAATCGCTAATGGGTCCTGGGCCCTTACTCTGTAATTCGATACGCAAAGCAATGCGATTCGAAAATCAAATGCGATGCGATGGGAAATTCGCACTCTCTATTGCTTTCGCATCCCCACCAATGTTGCCTTTTTACTTGTACGCTTATTTCTCAAGAAGGGTTGGCATTACTGACAGAAACGTCAAAGAAATAGAGAACAAAAGAAAGAAAATAAAAACGTTTAAAGGATAAAGGATTGCAAGTTAATTTATTTTAATTAAAAAATGGATTCTGTGGCGTTATGGGATGACTTTCAGAATGAAGAAAGGGTCCAGAGGAAAATAATTCGAGATAACTCAAACATTATGACCCTCAGCGATAAAAGGTAAGTTGAAATATTAGTGTTTTCAAATTACTCAGCATACAAATTTTAATTTTGTATCCTTAGTTTTGTTCAAAATTTTCGGCTCAGTAAAGAAGCATTTATGTACGTGTTGGACAGCATAAGAAGTGAACTAAAAGTTTCCCAAAGATCTACCGCAGTCCCTGAAATAGTGAAACTTTCGACCACTTTAAAATTTCTCGCTCAGGGCGGTTATCAACACTCTATTGGACAAGATCGACATGCAGGGCTGGCACAACAAACCGTATCAAGATGCATTTTAGAAGTATGCAACGCGATTGAAAAAGTTTTGTGTCCGAAATATATAGTGTTTCGTATAAACAACCAAGAGAGAGTTGATGCCAACAGGAGCTTCTATCAAATGTGTGGAATCCCAGGAGTTATTGGAGTGGTGGATGGGACGCACATCCAAATAATAAGGCCGACAAGGAACGAACATTTATTTTTTAACCGCAAATTAAAGCACAGCATAAATGCAATGGTGGTAAGAGGATGATCTACTGAATATGCTATGTATGTATGTATCTTTGTATTTTAGGTATGTGATCACCAAATGCGTATTAGAGCTGTCAACGGAAGATTTGGAGGTGCGTCACATGATTCCCATGTGTGGAACTTGTCAAGCGAGCGGGATTATTTAAAATCAAATTATGCGAATGGAGACAATGGTGTGCGAATCCTTGGTAAGTTCCTTTTAATATCCATTCACGAAATCTTTTATTGACAATTGCACTTCTGTCCTACCATAGGTGACTCTGGATATCCGCTGGAACCATGGCTATTAACTCCGTATAGAAATGCTGCGGAAAATTCTGACGAGCTGTTTTTTAATCAAAGTCTATCGAAAGGAAGATCATTAGTAGAACGAGTATTTGGCGTGTTAAAAGGTCGATTTTGATGCCTTTTAGCTGCACGGGAGCTTCATTATGCTCCAGAAAAAGTTGTTAAAATACTGAACGTATGTTGTGCTCTTCACAACATATGTATTTGGTATAATGTCGAGCAACCTACAGATATTAGAACTGAGCCAGAAGAAACTGTAACCGTTAATGCTGATAATACAGAAGAAATAAATTTTGTCAACATTGCTAGAAGATTAAGAGAAGAAATAAAAAACAATTTGATAGCTACTCGAAATTACATACAATAAGTGAACATGTTTTTGCAATAAATAATTTATTCAATTAAGAGATCTTCAGTCTTTCGTTACATAGGAGCACAGCACTTTGAATATTAAAGTTATTTTATTTTTATAAAATAATTAAAATAAAAAGCACAAAAACACAGTCAAAACAAAAAAATAAGCTTCAGTGTTTACAAAAAGAAAATTATGACTAATTTATCACATCATGCTTGACTAGCCTTTAGCATTCATAAAAAATGATATGGATTGATATTTATGTATATTTACGGTGGCGAGAATGTAAATAGGGAATAGCAACTATCTTAGGGAATAGCTTACTATCTAAAAAAACATGTAAATCAAAATCTAATTAAAAACCTCAAAATTTTGAAGAAGCTTTGATTTAGATGGTTTTTGTTAGATGAGTTACGCTTTTACAAAAAAATAATAAACATTAAATAAAATTCGAAATAGCCAAAGAATGCTAAAATTTCTCTCCCCTATTTATATTTTCGCCACTGTATATCCATATCATCTTTTATGAATGAGGCTATTTGTTTCTATTTCTAAAGTTAACATCTCTTTTTGCAGTTCTAACTTACTTAATCTTAATTTTAAATTTTCACGATCAAGTTTTTGTTTATGGAGAAATTTTTCTCTTGCAAGTTTAAGTTTCTGTTTTTCTATTTTCCTTCCTTTTTTCATATTTTTAAAAATGTTATTCAAATTTACATTTATCTCATTTAAAACTTTACCCGAATGCTTGTGGTAAGCCATTTGGTTTTCGACTTGCTTCTCTAAAAGGTTTTGTTTCTTGCGAGAAGTGCTTCAACATTTGAACAATGATAATCTTGGAGGGAATTACTTTCGCCTGTATTACCTTCCACTGAAGTTTCGATGTGTGTATTCGATGCTGTTTGTGCTGCACCAAACTCTAGTGTGCCTACCATCCCACTCATTGATTCCTCCATCGATAATAGTTCACTGACTTTCTGTTCCAGTTGCGTAAGTGAGCAGTAATTGGAACGACCACCACCAGTTCCGGAAATGCTGTTTGTTACGACGCATTTTTGCTTTCAAATGCGTCTTGTAATCAGCCCAAATCTAAAATTTAAGATTATTGTATATTGCCAAAAACTACTAAAGTTACTACTTACTTTCTTCGAGCCAGCAACTTCACGCATCGGTGGGCCAGCTGCATTTAGGTCGCAAGCCAATTTCTTCCAAAGGTTTGTGGAAACGGTTTTAGCATCCGGCGTCTTCAATAGCCCCTTAGACAAATCCGGGTGGATTTCCATGAAATCCACTAATATTTCAAATTGCTTTTGATTCGTCTGCTTACCTTTAGTATTTTCCCTATGTACATATTTTTTTTAAATAATGTAAATATATGCAATTTCAGTTTGAATAATTCTTTTAACTTACATTTTTATTTGTTTCGTTTGCCTTTGAATTGTAGCAAGAAAAATGCGAATGTCACGGCCATTTGACAGCTACATTCAAAAAACAGAGCTACGAATGCGAAGGGGAAAAATGTGATGCGAAAGGGATAAATGAAATGCGTAATTCGAAAATTTCTGCGCGAATTTCGTATTTTTGCGAATGCGAAGCAAATCTCATTCGCATCGCATTACAGAGTAAGGGCCCTGATCTGTATCCTCAATGCACACTTCCGGTTGCTGCCGCCACGTTCTCATTCGATGGGCCTCGATCACACCGTCATAGGGAAGTTGCGTAAGCTGGCAATTATTTATGTCGCGGACGACGTATCTGTCGTTTCCTAGAACCTTATGCACTACGTATGGCCCCTTGTATTGAGGCACGAATTTTTTGTTACTTCCTGTAGTAGTGTCGACATTTCTCACGACTACAAAGTCTCCTAGGTCATATGCCTTACTTTGGCGGCTACTCTTCGCGCTTCGCGCGGAATCGTACTCTTGTCTAGCAACGATTGAGTCAGATGCGTCCTTACGTATGCGGTCCAAGTCTCGTCCTTCGTCCGGGCATAGTTTCTCCTGGAAGTATTCCGTAAATTCGTCAATTATCAACCCTCGCTGCTCAACGCCAAACAGGACTCGGCTCGGGGTGTCACGGCAAGTACTGTGCACCGGATTATTAATAGCGTATTCGACTTCAAGTAATTTCCTAACCCAGTCATCATGGTTAATATGGTCCGTCAACTTCCCCAACATGGATTTTAGTATCCTATTCACTCTCTCCACCTGTCCATTGGCCTATGGAGAGGCCACGGCAACATTCACATGCCCTATATTTCGTCTCAATAAAAATGAACTAAACTCGAGAGAAGTGAAACAAGTGCCCCTATCACTGATGATTCGTCTCGGCCTGCTATAATAGCTAAAATACTTGTCGAGGGCCGCCGTGACTTCTCGAGTACTAGTTGAGTTGGTTGGATAGAGCTTGACATATTTAGTGAATGCGTCAACAACAACTAAAATATGCTTACGCTTTGACCTAATTGACGGCAGTGGTCCAAAGTGATCTACGTGGATAGTGTCAAACGGCAAAGGGGTTTTAGGGATAACGTGAAGGGTCCTTTCTTTTGCATGAGGCGGAGTGGCGTACATTATGCACTTCAGGCAATTCCTAACGTACTTTTCTACTTTTGGTCGCATGTTTGGAAACCAGTAATATAGCTTCAGCTTACTAAGGGTCTTCTCCACTGATAGGTGACCCATCTTCTCGTGAATTACTTGTATCACGTTGTGCTCCATTTCGTTGGGCACATACAGAGCTATCTTACCGTCATNTTTCTACTTTTGGTCGCATGTTTGGAAACCAGTAATATAGCTTCAGCTTACTAAGGGTCTTCTCCACTGAAAGGTGACCCAGCTTCTCGTGAATTACTTGTATCACGTTGTGCTCCATTTCGTTGGGCACATACAGAGCTATCTTACCGTCATTCTTCTTCTTGTATATCAATCCGTCTACCAAGCTATAGTCTTTATCGTCTTCATTTTCTAATCGGCATCGTAAGGAGTCAATGTTTTTATCCCGCTCTTGGGCAACCTGTACTTGGAATTCCACGTCATCCGTGTTTACAATTAGCGCTATCCNCCTATTCACTCTCTCCACCTGTCCATTGGCCTATGGAGAGGCCACGGCAACATTCACATGCCCTATATTTCGTCTCAATAAANCCTGTCCATTGGCCTGTGGAGAGGCCACAGCAACCTTCACATGCCCTATATTTCGTCTCAATAAAAATGAACTAAACTCGAGAGAAGTGAAACAAGTGCCCCTATCACTGATGATTCGTCTCGGCCTGCTATAATAGCTAAAATACTTGTCGAGGGCCGCCGTGACTTCTCGAGTACTAGTTGAGTTAGTTGGATAGAGCTTGACATATTTAGTGAATGCGTCAACAACAACTAAAATATGCTTACGCTTTGACCTAATTGACGGCAGTGGTCCGAAGTGATCTACGTGGATAGTGTCGAACGGCAAAGGGGTTTTAGGGATAACGTGAAGGGTCCTTTCTTTTGCATGAGGCGGAGTGGCGTACATTATGCACTTCAGGCAATTCCTAACGTACTTTTCTACTTTTGGTCGCATGTTTGGAAACCAGTAATATAGCTTCAGCTTACTAAGGGTCTTCTCCACTGAAAGGTGACCCAGCTTCTCGTGAATTACTTGTATCACGTTGTGCTCCATTTCGTTGGGCACATACAGAGCTATCTTACCGTCATTCTTCTTCTTGTATATCAATCCGTCTACCAAGCTATAGTCGTTATCGTCTTCATTTTCTAATCGGCATCGTAAGGAGTCAATGTTTTTATCCCGCTCTTGGGCAACCTGTACTTGGAATTCCACGTCATCCGTGTTTACGATTAGCGCTATCTGCCTCCTACTGAGGGCATCAACATGACCCATTGAAGCCCCTTTTCTATGTTTTATTTTATAATTATAATTTTCGAGCTCAAGAGCCCACCTAGCTATCCGGGGGTTCAGTTGTTTTCTTTCGAGTGTCATCGTCAATGAGTTACAGTCGGTTATTATGGTGAAGCGTATGCCTTTTAGATATGTCCTAAACCTCCTAAGTGCATATATGATGGGCAATGCCTCCAGTTCAAAACTATGATATTTCGACACGGCACTTGAGGCAGTTTTAGAGAAGTATGAGACCGGGTGGAACTTATTATCATCTTGGCGTTGCAGCAATACTGCACCGAAACCTACACTACTAGCGTCACAGTGGAGTTCAGTCTCCCGAAGTGGATTGAATATAGCCAGCACTGGGCTTTTAACTAGGCGGGACTTAAGTTCAGTGAATGCATCAAGGCACTTCTCGTCAAAGTCAAATGGTGCGTTTCTTTTAAGCAAGTTTTGTAATGGTTTTGCGATTTGCGAAAAGGACGGTACAAATCTGCGGAAATATGAGAACATGCCAAGGCAGGATTGTAGTTGTTTTGCATTCGTTGGAATCGGGAAATTTTGAATGCTCTTAATGTGGGAATCATTGGGTAATATACCTGAGTGTGATACCACATATCCTAAATAGTTGATTTCATCATACCCAAACCTGCATTTATCTAAGTTAAGTTCCAAAGCCCTAAAGGTAAGTCGCTCTAATACTAATTTTAGCAGATCTTTGTGTTCATCAAAATTTTCGGTCGCAATAATGATATCATCCATGTAAATGATGACCTTTCTGCTATCGATCATGTCCCGGAAGATGTTGTTGATGAAACGCTGAAATACAGCGGGAGCGTTCTTCAGCCCGAACGGCATCTTCAAATATTCATATTGACCGTTAGGGGTCACAAAGGAGGTAAGGGGAATTGATTCAGGTGCCATCTGAACCTGGTGAAAACCGCTTTTTAAATCTAATACGGAAAAGAAACGTTTATTTTCCAGATATTCTATGCAGTCATCGATTAGCGGGTAATTATCCCTAACAGTCAATTTGTTTAATGCTCGGTAATCTACACACATTCGGACCTTTCCGTTCTTCTTAACCAGCACTATGGCTGACGCATAAGGTGAATCGCTAGGGTTTGTACTTGGTTTCTCTCAGCGTACGAAAGTCGTCGGGGCGCGCAATGGAAAGGTACGCCAGTCGTCAAGTGTATCTTCATTTCGTATTTAAATGGTTCGGGTGTCACTTCCGGTTTAAGATATGTGTTAACGATAAGTCGTTCCAAGTCATTTCTTTGATTACCGGTCAGTCTAGTGCCTAAGTCTATGTCGTTTCCACCGTGGGGAACGTCAATGCAAAATATCTCAGGTACGTCAGCGGCGGCAGCTACGTCAACGGCAGTAGGTATGTCAGTGGCAGCAGGTACATCAGCTGCGGCAGGCACGTCAACGACGGCAGGTACGTCGTCAGGCTTATTATGGCAATCAATGGTAACGTCGCGTACCGTTACGTCTTGATCTTTAGCGTATTTTAATTCGTCTAATTTCATGACGGCCGAGTGTGCGTTGGGATCAGTTACAAACTTCTCAGACTTATACAAACTATGGTCGGTAACATTTATTATTTCGAGCAATTTTTCCTTAGTGGGCCTATCTGTTGCGCTAGTCAGACAAATGTTAAACTTATTGGGGAAATCACGTCCCAAAATAACTGGCAAATTTATGCTTTTGTCTTTAATAACATTTAATTCAATTTCGTTTTTTTGTTCAAGAATTCAATAGTACATTTCATTTTATAAAGTATTTTAATTTTGCTTCCACCGATGCCTTTATAACTGGGGCCTCTATCAACCATATGCCCGTTCCGGGAGCAGTTGAAACACATCAGCTTCAAATCGTCCGTTTGTTTCGGCGCCGTTGTCTGCCGCTGGTTAGATGGCTGCACCGCCCTGGTCACGGAATATTTGTGTTGGTACCGGTTTATAAGGGTTTTTAATTTCTCTACGCTTCGTGCCGTCATCAGGATGTGGGCATGCGGGGTAGTGTTCCCGATGCCGTCTATTATGAAGTCTATCAGCTCCGTATCGGCGATATTGGCGCGCTTCGCAATGGCCTGCATGGTTAGCGTGTAGCAGTGGAGCATCTCCTCTTTCCTCTTCCAGCGTCGCTGCGACAGCATTTTGTACACTTCTTGCCTTGTGATTCCCACGTCGAATTCGCTTGATAGCGCTGCTTTTAGCGCCTGGTAATTTAGGGCGGCCGTGGTCGATAAAAATACTCTCGCTGTGCCTGTTAGGGACCGGCGCAGGGCAAGCAAGCGAAAATTGTCGTCAGCCCCTGAGGACTCCATTATTTCCTCAAAATCTCGCAGAAAATGGCGAACGTGGTAGGCTACGTCGTCGCCATTAAATTTAGGCAGAGCGTGCACAATATCGCCGAATTCCAGGCGACCTTGTCGTCTACTATTGGGAGGGCGCTCCAGTTCTTCTATCTGTCTGCGAAGCGTAAGTATTTCCAAGCGCTTTTTAAGGGGCGTCACTTCTGCGTCTAGTTCAGTGAGTACTAACCTGGCTATTTCGGTGACATTCTCAGATACCAGAGCGGCAGTGTTATTGGCGATAGAGACGGCGGTATAGGCAGTGGAATAGGCAGTATCAGCGGTGGGGGTGGCGGCGGAATCAGCGGTGGCGGCGGCGGCGGTAGTGATGGAAGCGTTGGTGGCGGCGGTATAAGCGGTGGTGACGACAGCATTAGTAGTACTGACGGCAGCTTTGGTGGCAGCAGTGACGGCGATGTCTGCGGTGGTGGCAGCGGTGACGGCAATGTCGGCAATGGTGCCGGCAGTGTTGGTTGAGGCAGTAAATTCGGCATCAGTGGTATCGGCAAAGGTAGTGGTGTTCCTATTATCACCCACCACGTTTAGCAGAAAATTACGTAGCTGTTGCGTCGTGGCTGAGGGTGTGAACGCCACACCAGCTTTTTGTAAGGCCTTGGTTATATCCTCGCGTGGGTTGGCCATTTTTCGTGATTGTTGGAAATTATTAATGAAATTCGATGATCGGGGTAATAACCCAACACCTGAGCTGTAAATTTCCAATTTACCTCGTATTTAGCTAGCGGATTACCGCGGATTGAATTTTAAGTTATTTAATGCGTGTGTTCTCTTTTCTCGCCCAAAAGGAAGTGACCGCCATCTTCCTCCTTTTCTCTTTATTCATTTTCTTTACAGGGTTGCATTACAATAATTCACTTAAACTAGTAGGAGCAGGGTTGCATTACCGACTCCGAAACTTAACTAAATGAAATTATTTTATCCAATGTTACAAAGTGAAAAAGATTGAATTCAAGAGTTGAACTCTAAATAATAATTTTTCTAATTCCACCTTCTTTTGCACAAAATAAACAAAACGGTAAACATAAGCGCGGTGGCTGAGTGAATAATCGAAGAGTGTCACAAGTGCCGAAAAGGCATAAGAGATAAAACTGGATTGCACTGTGCGGGTGTGTGTGGTAGAGTCTATCACAAAACCAAAGCGTGTGCATCTATAGATGACTACTGTTTGCAAGGTTTAGTAAATTGCCCCTACTTGAGATTCATGTGTGATGACTGTGTTACATACATATCGAATGTTGATTATGCGATCAAACAAATGATATCAATAGCGGAAAGCAACAAAATAAATATATGCGAGCAGAAAACGGAATTCGAAAGCCTAATAAACAATCATAATAGGGAAATCAAGGAATTAGTAGCTAACAATGAGAAAGAAATTAAGAGGGTAATGGAGACTTTAAAAAAAGCAAATAAGGAGAAAGATGATTTAATTAAGAGGGTGGAAAACTTGTGCATTTTTAATAAAGATTTCTTAGAGAAATCAGCTGTAGGTTTGTCTAAGCAAAGAGAGGAGATAATTAAAGAAGTGAAAAAAGTTGGTGAACAAAACACAAACAATGGTAACAGCATAACATCGTATGCTAATGCTTTAAAAAGTGTCCCGCCTATTATTGTTAAGCCAAAATCAAAACAAAGTGTTGGCGTAACAAAAAAAGACCTAAACAAGATAGATGCCACTGACATGAAAATTAATAAGGTGATACATAAATCCAACGGGTCAGTTCTTATTAGGGCAGACGACAATTCAGAAAAGGAAAAAATTAAAACAACCCTACAAAATAGATTAGATTCTCAAGTTTACGAAATCAGAGAATCTAAAATTATTAACCCAAAAATTAGAGCCACCAATATGAGCGAGGAATACAATGATGTTGAAATAATTGCTAAAATAAAATCATAAAACGAATTCATGAAAAATGTTTTTATAAAATGTGTGAACGTTTTTAAACAAAGAAGAAATAATAGCTCGGTGTGCACCTTTAGCGCAATCATCGAAATTGAACGTGAGAAATACTTGGAAGTGCTAAAACGGGAGAAGATTCACATCGGGTGGGATCAGTGTGGCGTATATGATGGGCTAAATGTTAAAAGATGTGTTGGGAACTCCTGCCTTTGACATAATTTCAATTTCATGCATTTCAATTTCATGTACTTCATTTTTGTATTTTATTTTTAATGTATTCCATTTCGATGTTCTCATTTATTTTCAAATACCTTTCATACATACATATGTTACTCTCATTATTTAGAGATACATATGTACACATATGTGTTACTAGTGCCCTATGTATCCCATGTATTTAATTTGCCGCTAACTCTTTGCATGCACGTATGTACATATGTACATGTCCGCGGAATAGGTACGGTCGATGCAGTATTGCCTTTTTCGTTTTGTTTTTCTGTTCGTATGCATATGTACATGCATGTAGGCAAAGCATTGGAGTTGTTTGTCGCGGAGTTGTGCCTTGTAAATATGTATGTACAAATTAATGTTAGGTTTTTTGTGTACATACATACCGCAATGTGTCGTTCACTCGATTACCGCTGCCATAATTTGGTTGATCTGCTGGCGCAAGTCAACCTCAAAGTCAGTCGTCAACCAAAGGGATCGAGTGAAGGACACACTGCGGTAAGTAACTCCTAAAGTATTTTCAATTATATCTTTGTAACAAGTCTTTACATCGAACAGAAATAAACCAAGTAGTACGTCATTGGACTATTATTGTGTATGCGCCTTTTGTGACAACGTTACTTGCGTTAAATTCGCAAGCGGGTTGACGACAATTTCTTTATTTCGCAGTGAAATACATAATTTATTTCACTGACTGATTGCCGTTTATGGAAAGTTCTCGACGTTCCTCAGTCATCGCCTATACACATACGTACATTTTTGCACTTGCCGCCGCAAACGAACAAGAACTGTAACTATTCTTATTGGAATTATTTGTATGTGGGACTGAAAAGTCGAATTTCGCATTTGCCAGCCAGGCGAATAATTTAGCCGTATTTTATACACTGAATTAAGGAGTTTATTTGCAACTCGCATACATTTCATATTTTTATTTGCCGTTCATAAAGAACCTGCCGCTTTGTTTAATCTTGCAATTAGCCGCATTGCATGCGTAAGTCTTCGTGCCGACGTCCATGATATGACTATGCGTTCACCAGTTTCTAAAGCCACTACATCTGCCTCAGTGGCCGACCCGCCGAAGTTAGTATCGGATTCCGGCACTGCTGCCGACATCATTGATTTGCCAAACACTCCCGAAGCCGAGGGAGTTAGTACTCGTGCCTCATCTGCCGCCCGCCAGGAAGCGATGTTTAAGGCTATGCAGAAACGCATCGCCACGCTTGAACGCAGTCTGAAGGTTGCCCAACAGAAAATAAGAGAACACGAGTTAGCAAACGAAGCCCAACGCGCAGATGCGCAAAGCATATCCAGTGCACCCAGCGACAGTTCCGCCAACGAATCTGCCTTGCCGTCATCGAGCCTGCCAATGACACAGTTCCAGCTTCTTCACCCGCAATCGCCGATCGTAACGAGTGCTGCTACCAATGTAGATGCTGTGCAGCCGCTGTTGCCACCTCATAACGCTACACGTTGCCCGATGTATACCGCCACTCGTGTCTCGCCGCCCATTTACACATCTTCAACAAATGGTTCAGCTGTAACAACGCGTTTCTTAACAGTCTTTCGTCAACGGTGCCAATTCCTGCTAACGTAGGCTCCGTACCTGCGCAGTTTTCAACTCAGCCAAGAAAATTGCAAGATTTGCCGGAGTTTAGTGGGAAGCCGGAGGACTGGCCGATATTTTTTACTGCTTACACCGAGTCAACCGCTGTCTATGGGTACAGCTGTTTTGAAAACAACTTACGCCTGCAGAAGAGCTTAAGGGGTGAGGCCCGAGAGGCTATTAAATCGCTGCTTATCCACCCGAACAATGTGGGCAATATCATCGAGCAACTTAGGTTCCGATACGGTCGCCCGGAACAATTAATTCCAAGCCAGCTAGCCCATGTTCGAGAAATTGCTCCGATATCGGAAAGCTCAGTGGTAAAGTTGATACCATTTGCGACGAAGATTGCCAACATTTGTGCATTTTTACGTTCTGCGTGTGGCGGAGAGCAGCATTTAGCGAATCCAACGCTTCTTGATGAGCTCGTTGGAAAGTTACCCATGAGCAAGCGTATCGAATGGGCAGTTTTTGCATCGTCTTTGCAGCCTTATGCAACGGTTCAGCATTTCAGCGATTGGCTTACTAAACTTGCCAATGTCATCTGCACGGTTTACGACGGGGAAACAGCGAGAGACTCGAAGCGCCGGGTTGTGCTGCACGCTGCCGAATCACAACGCCATCCAACTTGCCCTATTTGTCAGGGCCAACATAAGCCAGCCGACTGTAGCCAGTTCAGCCAACTTACAGTGCCGAAGAGGTGGGAAGAAGTGAAGCGATGCCATCTCTGTTTCTCATGTCTCAACGCTGGACATGGGTCGCGCAATTGCCAAAGGCGCAAACCATGTGCCACCGACGGGTGCAAACGGTTTCATCATAAATTGTTGCACGAAATTGAAAAAACTATCGACGGGTCATCAAACCAGTCATTGCCGCCTCGAGATCGCAACAGACGTGTTTCCATTGCCGATCCACGTAAAACGATTAGCACGCAGACGCAGCCAGCGTCGCGTATTCAGTCGCAAGGCGATACGGGTGTAGCAGTCCTTAGTTGCAGTGCAAACGTTGCCGATAGCAAGTTGTTATTTCGGATTCTGCCGGTCGTGCTGTATGGGAACCAGAAGCGCGTTGAGACGTACGCCCTTTTTGATGAAGGTTCGTCAATAACAATGCTTGACAACGCACTAATTGAAGAGCTCGGGTTACGTGGCCGGACTGAACGCTTAAACCTACAGTGGTTCGGAGGACGTGCCACCCAAGAGCCAGCCGTGGTGGTAGACTTACTAGTGAGTGGTGCCAATATGCAAAAGAGACATAAACTACGAAGGGTTTATGGTGTTTCAAACCTGCAGCTACCTTCTCAGAGCCTGAGTAAAGCCGATTTGCGTTGCCATGAAAAACATTTAAATAAGCTGGCAGTTCAGCCATACGCGCAAGTCAAGCCAAAGCTGTTAATCGGACTCGACCACTGCCACCTTGGTTTGCCGTCAACCACAATGCAGCTAAACAAGTGTGGGCCGTTTGCCGCGAATACTGAGTTGGGATGGGTTGTGTTTGGACCAACAACCAACTCTTATCCGACATTGCCATCATGTTTATTCGTTAACTGCCACACTGAGCAGTCGCTACACAATGCGGTTGCCGAATATTTCGAGACGGAAAGCTTTGGGGTTCGAGCTGCGCCTGCCATCGAGAGTGAAGCTGATATCCGTGCTCGCGAAATCTTGAGGTCCACTACGTGCCGTGTTGAAGGAAGATATCAGACTGGTCTGCTCTGGAAGCGTCCCGACATACAGCTACCTGCGAGCTATGCTATGGCCTTGAGGAGATTAGCGGGTATTGAAGCAAAAATGAGGCGCGATACAAACTTTGCCGCTGAATATAAGCGCATCATGAATTCCTACGTCGCGAAGAACTACGCAAGAAAGCTGTCGCCAGAAGAAGCCGCTTTAACTAACGATAGGACATGGTACTTGCCTCACTTCGCCGTCAGCAATCCCAACAAGCCAGGCAAGTTACGTATGGTGTTCGACGCGGCTGCTGAGGTGGACGGTGTGTCCCTCAATTCACAGCTCATGAAGGGTCCACAGGAATATCGGCCTTTGCCTGCTATACTATTTCACTTTCGTGAAGGAGCAATAGGCGTGTGTGGTGACATCAAAGAGATGTTCCACCAGGTGCTGGTTCAACGTGACGATAGACGTGCGCAACGATTTCTTTGGCGCAATGGTGATACCACCAGACAGCCCGAAGTGTATGAGATGCGCGTAATGACCTTTGGAGCAGCATGTTCGCCTTGCGCCGCCAACTATGTGAAGAAGATCAACGCGTTAGAGTATCGCAAAAAAGTCAGTGGTGCTGTCCGAGCCGTGAAATCGATACTGGACTACCATTATGTCGATGACTATGTCGATAGCTTCGACACAGAAGAAGAAGCAGCTGACATCACGAAACAAGTTCGAGCAATACACAAGATGGCCGGTTTCGATCTTTGCAATTTCGCGTCGAACTCGTCAAGAGTGACAGAAGCCCTTGGTGGCGACGGAGCTACCCGTCAAATAGCCAAGAAGGAAGGAGTACTGGTGGACAGAGTTCTCGGTTTGTTTTGGCAGGCATCGACCGACACCTTTGGATTTAAACTGAAGTTCAACAACGTAGAATCCAGCGTATTGAACGGAATGCGCCGTCCGACAAAGCGAGAACTCCTCAGCGTGGTCATGTCCATCTTCGACCCGCTGGGATTTCTGAGCAATTTTGTAGTGAGTGCTAAGATACTCATGCGGGAGGTGTGGAAGCATGACATCCGGTGGGACGAACCATTGCCAAACAACGTAAACGCCGCATGGGAATGCTGGCGTAAGCAACTTTCAACGGTCGCCGAATATGTCGTTCCTCGGTACTATTTTCTAAACGGCAAACCTAAAGCTCTGCAGCTCCATGTCTTCGTCGACGCTAGCGAGGATGCCTTTGCTGCGGTGGCCTACTGGAGGTCAACCAATGCCGTCGGTGAGGTGGAAGTCGCATTTATCTCCGCAAAAACCAAATGCGCGCCGATGAAGTCTTTGACGGTGCCTCGATTGGAGCTTCAGGCAGCCGTGCTGGGTACGCGTTTAATGAGCTGCGTCCGGGAGGAACACTCCTTGGACATTGATGACTGCATCATTTGGAGTGACTCCAAAACGGTAATCCAGTGGCTTCGCAGCGAACATCGGCGCTATAAGCCATTTGTGCAGCATCGGATCGCCGAGATATTAGCCGCAACTACTACCGCAAATTGGAGATGGCTACCTACCGAGGACAATGTCGCCGATGAGGCCACTCGAGCTAATAACTTTATCGACTT